GTACTACTATCATGTGAAAACATTTTAAAGATCTGATGTAATTTATAAGAGGGAATATAATTTCAAACCAAATCATATACTTATATTATACATTCAGACTAAGCAGTAAAGCACTTTGCAATCCATTCATTAGATAAATAATGTTTAAAAAGCAATTATAACTAACTAGATATAAAGGTTGACCAGTACAAAAGCTTATTTTCTTAGATTAATCACTACAATGATCATAAAAAAATCAAAAAATCTTGACACACTAGACATCAATTCGTTATTGTTAAGGCATTTTCTAAGCATATAAGACAAGTCGCAGTGGAAAATCGACTTTACCTATACAATTTATCAAATAGTAAAACTACTGTCAGGATTTGGTATTCTTTGTCTATTTTTGCTTTATGAGCTATTTGCATTATATTCTTATATTAACTTACTGGATATTAATGCCTTGGTTTAAAGGTATCAATGACTAACAAGTGATGTAACCATATTATTCGACAGTTTCACCCACATTTAACTAGTGTTTTACCCATGTTATATATATAAAATGCATTGATATTCTTTGTTTTATGTTTTGAAGGTACTTTTGGATGAAAGATGCAAAAAAGAGTAAATTAGAGGTAATCAACAGATTTTACGTTTAGTCGATGTTTTGTGCAAAGTATGAGTTCTAGAGGTCGAAATAAAGTGATTCTAGTGGCACTAAAAAGCTAACATCTACACTTTTTTGTAAATTTAATGCAAGAAAAATAAAAAGAGAAATATCATAGAAATCATATCTTTCAAAGTCAAGTCTCACATTTTGCCACTATTGACCTTTTTCCATTCAAAATTCAATATCTGGAGCTATAGAAGTCTAATTGATGCAAACTTAATTATTTTGGATTCTTAACTCAAAGGTCTATAAATGCTTCAAATTTCATCTAAAAAAGATGTCATATAAGGGAGATATGATTTTTTAAAGATAATAATTGAATTCTGCCAGCAAAAAGGTTTCATAAAGAAACGAGTCCAAATTATGTTCGAAGCTTCTAAATCGATATCCAAGTTTTTATTTCATCAATTTAGCTCCTTTAAGTCAAAGATTGAAGATTTCATGTAAGTCTAATTCTTCTTTTTAGGAAAATAGTTATTAAAGTACTTAAATATAGATTATCAACTTAAGGGAGGACTATTTTATAAAATAGAAACTAAGGTTTCGTAACATTTAAAAAGAAAGAGAGAAAGGAGAGAGGGAATAAAGGGAGCAGCAGCCAAAAGTAAAGAAACACAAACTCTTCTCTTTACAAACTAAAAATAATGCTTTCTTCTATCTTTAAGAGTGGTTATTCCATAGATATGCAAGGCTAAGCTCGTTTTCTTAGTTGCAAGGACACAACAAACTTTCAAATTTCAAGAACCGTGAGATTTATTCTTCCTTTTATTTTTAGTTTATATTATGAATGAGTATGATTGTTTTTCTATGCATATTTTCTATGATTGTTGTTAATAATTGCTAGAGCGGATTCTAAGTTATTATTGTGAACAATGTATTGCTAAGTTTGATATCAAAACCGGAGTTGTAATATATGAACGAACATGTGAAGCAACTAAGCTTGATAATTGTGGCGGAACTACATTATTAAACTTAGGGAAAACACTCAAATATCTAGTTCTTAGGGCTGCCATTGAACTAAATCATTAATGCGGACATTGTGATTGTTTGTTGGTTAGGGTTAGTTATGTGGCAGATCCGTTAATTAACCAACATTAAAAAAAGATAAAAATTCAGAATATAAATTGTAGTTTCGTTTCAAGGATCGGTTCTAATTTTTATTGGTGGATGTGTGCTTGTGACTAAGGTTTGTTTTCTTGATTAATTTCGTTTTCAATTGATTTTGTTTGCTAGTTTAATTTCTTCCATAGTTTAGATTATCACAAGTCAAAACCCCCCCAATTGCATAACATATAGCATAAAAATCTAAACTAAATCTTTCTTGTGGGATCGACCCCTTGTTTGTTCTATACTATGTTGTGTGTTGTGTTTTAAGTTAGGATAATTAATTTGTGTGACCACGACATCACAACAACAAGCAATTATAACAACCCATATAATACTTTGTGATGTCGGCAATATTTCAACTAGTAGCTAAACCAGGTTATGACCACTTAATTGTTAATCAAGAGGATAAATCTGAAGCAAACATCAAGGATTTTATTGATATTATAATATTTGGGTCTAAATTTTCTATATCTCACTTTTTTTAGCAATAAAGAACATAATTTATGAGTGTGTTCCTTTAATGGGTGTCTAAATTTGCAGCAACCCATGCTGTGATGAATTATGAATGGCGCAACCATAATTTATTTTAACGTAATTAGTTTGACTAAGCAGTAGTTTGCGGGGGAGGTTTGCGGAGTTCCTTATTTGCTTCTTTTTTTTTTCCCTAGAAATTATAAACTAGCGAAAAACATTGCTTATGTATTCCACGACATCAATTTAAACACTGATGGTATATCAATAAACTATGAAGTAGTTGATATTAGATATAGTTTCTAATATGTAGCTTAACTAATATGCAGCTTATGAAAAAATAACTGAAATAAATCAAGAAAAAAATGAGGCAGAGGGTTTAATAAGTTGCAGGAAAGAACAGAACATAGAAACATACATGTGGGTGTGAGAATAGCAAAGAATCGATGCCAAATCAAGAACTGTGAAGGAATCGATGCTAGATCAAGAACTACAAGTTCAAAAAAAAAGGCAAAGAATAAAGAAAAGAGAGAGTGAAAGATGGAGAGTTGTGAAGAGAAATAAGAGTCTAACCTTATTCACAGATTTGAAACAGTGATCAAGAGTTTTCTCCTCCTTTGCTCTTTGTGATTGAAATGACTTTTTCTTTAATTAAATTTTCTCTCTATCTTCATCATTTTGGCTTTTTAATCGTAAGAGGCCAAAACGATGTCGTTTCACGTGTTATATATTGATTAGTACTTAAAAGTGCATTTTTAGCAAGGTTTTATATCATCATTTTGCACTTGAAGTATCAATAACTCCTTAACTAAAACATGTTTTATAATAATATATCTAATAATATAAGATACCTTTAAGTTGTGGTAAATGGTCGTTTTAAATGCAGGTCTATCACATAAGTGAAAGGATTGATTGATGAGTTTAAGAACTGAAATTGAAA